ACTGCTCACTAAGGAGTTTTTTTTCCATCAAGATAACATAGTCATAGTCATGAACATTTTTATTTACACATATTCCTCATATTCCTTTTTTGTGCTCATTTATCCTCTRCATGGATTCAGAGGCTGAACACATGCACAGAAAAAGGATGTTGAGCAGAAGCTGTGTTTCCCATCAGTCTTTTCATCAGGATACTACAGTGAGAAGACACCAGAATTTTTCAGAAATATTTTCAAAAGGTCATCCCTAATTCTTTAAAATGCATCATCTACTTTCTTTTTGATAAAAATGTTTGTCTCCATACTGTTTATAAATTTTTGCAGGTATTTTGCCAGCTAAAAAAAAACAAAAAAAAAACAAAAAAAAAACCAACAAACCAGAAAACAAAAGGCTTACAAAATCAGACACCCTTGACACTTAGTTAATATGAACTTCACAAAAAAGTTACAACTAATCAGGTGACAGCAGATGATAGTGTCAGAGCAGCTCAGGCAGCCTTCCAAATGCTACAAGAACAGGTAACAAAAATATCTAATAAACTAATTAATATCTCCAACAGTAAATAATAATAAAAAAATAACATTTTCTCGTAGYGCTTACAAGGAATATTCCACCTCTCATTTTCAGGACACACAAAGCAGACAAAGAAAYCTCCCAAGATATTCTGTATTTGTCACTGCAAAAGCATTCTCTTGTGCCTGACTCAGCTCTTTCTTGCCAAAGCTTCACATCTTTGCAGTCTGACAGATGCATTTTCTTTGGGAGCTTTGCTGCTCCTGCTCCTGGGGAGAAATGCACTGTCAGATCTCCATTGCTCAGCARCACAATTTGCTCCCTACACTGCTGCACACCAGGCAGGCAGCTCAGCAGCTTTCCCCAGTGTCACATTGGTTCAGCAGTGRCAGCAAAAGCTGAGCTGGCTGTGGAATACACATCAAATAATCCACTGGTTAAATTAAAGAATATTCAGCACCCCACCTGAATCCTTCAGGTATTCCCTCGGATGTATTTTGCTCACAATGACACTTAATGTGCCAGGCAAAAATTTGTCATCATAAAAGAAAGGACAGATTTATTTGGTCAAGTTTTAGGGAAGGGATAAGGCACTGCACTGCAGTTTTGTGGTTCTAGTGATGCCTTAGGATTTTTTGTTTCTGTATTTTCATGCATCTGTATTCTTGTACTTCTCTAGTACAGCACTAAAAACCACCATTTTCTTATCTTTAGACAAAACAATCCCTCTCTGAGCCTGAATCCAAGGACAGCTCAGAGCACCAAAATATGGAAATAACAGAGAGTTGGGTGGGAGAAAGTTTGGGGTGGGTGACATCATCACCTGTAGGGCATCACTAACAGGTAACACAAATGCAACCACAATGTGATTTCATTGACAATGCTCTCCTCCCTTTTAGAATATCCCAAGAGAGAGTTGGCAGCAGCTCAGATTAAATTGACTCTTTCCATGGCACGTGAGATGAGAGAACAAGAGAGGCATGAAAGCCCTATYAATGCATGAGACAGTTCTAGCGTGAACAAAATACAAAATAATGACTTTATTAAACCTTTGTGCATGTCTGAATGCAAGAGTTTACAACTTCAAAACTGCTTATCATTATWAAGATCCTTCCACACCCTTCAAAACATATTTAGACATACAACTGTTTATGGATATATATATTATCATATAATCTTCATGTCAAGCAGCTCATCTCTAAACAGAATACATCCAAATACAAGGTTTAGAAATGCACTCCTAGTAAAAGGGGATTTTTTCAATTTTGCAAGGATTGTATCAGTACTTAGCCATGTCCTGATTACTTGACAAACTGCATATCTTCACTTTATTTATAGATAGTTAAATTTAGCAAAACAAACCAAAAAAACATCCCTAAAACAAGAAAAATTGTGTAACTTTCATTTCAGAAAGCATCAGGTGAGGTGACAGCCCACAATTTCTAGTTTTGCTGAGAACAATGTTCCAAATTGCCCCAGGATTATCTATTTTATTTATYCTTTTCCTTAAAGTAATTCAGGTTCTCAAATAAACATTGTTTGAGAAAAATAGAGATTGAAGACTGACACAAACTAACTAGTACTAACTACAAAATTTAACTCACAATAAAGTATCCTTACAACTTGTGCTGCAGTAATTAGTTCATATGATACTGGAGGAAAAGTAGKAGTAGTTTAAAACTCTGAAGCATATCTGGACTGAGTAATTTTAATTGTGTTTTCATGAGATGTTCACCTACAGGTCACCAAGTAATTCCAGAGACAAATCAAACAGCACATTTCAGATGGTTTCCCTCATCCTCAAAAGCAAATCAAATCAGATTTCATTGCAGAAGACAATACTATCAATTACTGTGGTTTGTGCTAAACCCAGAAACTCTTCTGAAGCAAGCTCAGGGTTTGTCATGCTTGCTCATTATCTCACATGCATCATTTTCCACCAGACTTTGATCTTCAACCTTTGTGTTCTAATGAGAACTTGACCCAGATCCCACACAAACCCCTCCTCTGCAACAACACCCTGTGCCTGTCATCAAATTTTTTCAACAATTTAAGCAGTCCAAGAAAAAAGGGCAAGTTTTTGGGTTTTTTTTTAGCTTAGCTGCTACAACCTTCAGCAGAGCTGCAAATAAAAATTTAAACTGGAAAGAAAATTTACGCCTCCCTCCTGCACTTTCTCCTTGACTTTTATATTTCATCTTATAGGGTAGGAAGAAACACCAGCCTTTTCAAAAGCAGTTATCACTTTGTTYCACCAACAGAGAACCTATAAAGATGTGTTTCATATATCATCTAAATGTAAATATCTTTCAAAGCTCACCCATTACCAGTCACACTTTCCAAAGTAGTACCACACTGCAAATGTTGAAGAGGTATTATTCAWGATAACTACTGCCTGACTATACAGTTTGAAAGTATTTTTAGCAGACTCTCCTTTACAATTTACAGYCAGACACCTCAAAAAGACTGGAATTTCTTGTTGCAGGCCAACTAAAGCAACCCTAGCATGTTTTGTTATAAAAGTCAAACTAATAATTGAGCAGTCCATAAACATTCTTGCTGGCTTGCTTCAGTGAGGCACAGAGGATCTTGTTTTAATGTTTATAAAGTTTATCCTTTCTTATGTTTTTAATTACTTAAAACTAAGATATGTAAGAGCAGTGCAGCTCACCTCCTTTCTCTGTTAAAAACTTTGGTGTTCTCCTTGGCATAGATATAGAAACACAGTGCTTTGGACAAAAGCAGAGTCCAACAGGGAAGACTAATGACTTATTTGTCTTCTAAATGGAATCGTGTTTAACCTCACTTGGGAGTTATCAGCAAATCTGATTTCTCAAAGATTCATGCAAARGGGTTGAATGAATCAACCAGTGATAGCATCTCCTTGCAGGATCTCAGAGATGTGCTGGGAATTGAAATGGAACTACAGCAAACTGCAGTAATGGCTGGAAATAGTTTGGATCAAATCAGCTTTGAGATGAATAATAAAAACAGATTTTGCTGAGCATCTTTTTATTAAAACTAGCATGAGGTTTCAAAAAAAATTAAGTAATGCTTCTATAAAGGCAAATTCTGCTGGGAATTGTGTCATTAGGGGGAATAGAGATTGGTAAAGAGCTGGGAATAACATTACAGCCTAGACAGTCCTTGGCACAAAGACCAATTTCCACATATATACACCCTCCATCAACCACCAACCAAATGAACAATAGCTCATTCTATTTTGGTCTTGATATATACTGAAGATTACGTATTTCAGAAAAAAATTTTCATAAGAAACAGCCTTGAATAGAGCAATCATGACATGATTTAGCTAAAAACTAAATGGCAYAAAATAGCATCTGGATTTTAAAAGGACAAATATGTAGGGAATTGGCTGTTAGAGACAGCTGGAACRAGAGGAGCAGAAACTTTAACATGGACAAAGCCTGCAATTTCTTYCAGAAAGCAATGCCAAAATTTTTAAAAATAACCATTCCAAAGAAAAATCATTCCAAGGGGAAAAAAATACAGAAGTCCTTCAGACTCATTAACAGACATGTCAGAAGTAAGCAGAGGAGGAATGGAAAGACTACAGTGAAATTACAGTTCATAACTGCTTCAAAACATCATGTCACATTAAAACAAATCTTATACMAATGTTTTCCTGCCATATGAAGAAAAACAACTTACTTCCTAGAGTCTGGGTTACAAACCAAGGCTAATCTAAAATTATACATGGCAAATTAAGCAACAGAATTGCAAGTAAACTCAGTAGCAAAGACTACATGATCATACAGGTGAACATTAAAGATTTTTCCTGTCAAATCCAATTTCATCAGCTGGAAAAAAATATAAAGGAAAGCCATCAATTAGTCATAACATAAAACTAAATCACAGTAAGCTKCAGAAGAGATTTTCCTAGTGAAAATWAAGTGCCTAYGAAGAAGGTAACAAAATATCCAAGRTATTTTTGACWCTGGGCTGCAGGGGCTCTGAGCAACYTGCTCTGGTGCAAGGTGTCCCTGCCCATGGGGGAAAGGAGGGTTAGACTGGATCATCTTTAAAAGATTGCCTCCAAAATCAAACTGTTCCACAATTCTCATGGAATTAAACATAAAGACCTAGACTAGTTGAGGTGTTTTTTGAAAAAAAACCCAAAAAAACAAAATAAAACAAACAAAAAAAAAACACTGAACCCACATTTATATTCATYGCATCTCAAAATCCAAAAAATAACCATCACTGCATTAGGACTCTCATTTATACACACACACACAAAACATCAGTCCATGTAAATACATCAGCCTTTCAACAAGAGCATATTAGTCCCAAAAACATAGGTTAATAAAGCAATTCAGTGAAATACCACAAAAATAATACATTYCTGTAACCCACACTTCAAAAGATTTTTATTAAAACAAGCGTTTGCTAGAAAGTTTGGGTAGACTTTCAAAGAGGACACATGGACAGAAATATTAAAAAAAACAAACCAGAAAATATAACCTACCAAATATGTTGGTGGAATGTCCTTTCCGGGCAATTGGTTTGAGCTCATTATGTCCCCATCCATATTGCCTGTAATTGTCCCAGGCATGCTTCATCATCTAAGAAATGGGAAAAAAATAGGACTTGATTACCTTGTAAAATGACTCTCTATGAATACAGTATTTTACTCCTTATTTGAGACTTCATCTTTCACCAGCATCCCACCATACTGACTAATTACTTTGTCACTGCTTCTATGTGTTACAGAAATCAGATTTTAAAGCCTGAATAAGTTTGGAAAAAATTTCAAGTCTATTTGACTTAAGCTATGGAATCTAATGCTCTGCATTAGGTCCTTTTCTTGTTCTTTCTCTTTCTTTAATGCATGCACAGATATTTAAGAATGCAAGCATAAGGAATGCATTTAAGTGTAAGGAATTGCTGTAAAACACAGGTTAATGTCCTAAGATGCTAACTAAAAAATATCTACCCATACTCAAAACATAAAAAGGATTTATTCACACTGGTATATCCAAGTAGGACTGAACAATTTTGCAAAAGGAATAATAAATTTCTCATTAGCAACACCTACTTGACAAAGAAATGCCAAAATCTTTGCTTTTTAGAAAGCATAATRAACCAAGCAATATAATGTTATTAATACTTACCACACAAAAAATTTAGCTTTTTAATACATGTTTCCACCACCTAGTAAGAAAATTACATCTAAAAACCCAAAAGGTCTTGCTGACTAGCTATGAACATCAGCCACTAAGCAATGCTTTGATAAATTAGCTAAAACTCTTCAAACTCCTTACTTGTTGGAAATTCAGTAGCCACCAAATTGCAAAGTGAATGCAGTTTTAAATAAATAAATATTATTAGTACCTAAACAGATGAAAGCAAGTAAYAGGAAGAAATTAGATTTCAAAAGACACTGACTGTCCCAGACACAAGAACTGCTGGAAAAAAAACTTATAGAACAACATTACACATGTTTCATTTTTCTATCACCTTTTAGAAATGGTATTAGTGTTAATATAAACAAAATCCCCAAGGAAATGTATAGTACTTAAAATCATAATTTTCACAAGTTTGAGAAATGCTTTCTAAGAGGAGAAACTACATGAATGCAACTAACAGAACAATACTAACCCTTTAAGAAACTGAAGCAAGGCAATCAGTTTTTACTATGATTTACACAACTGTAATTTTCTAATTTTAATCAGTCACTACTCAGTGGGAGAAAATGGTTGGGAACAAGCAGATGCTGGCTAAAAAATGAGAAGCAGCCAGCTACTTTATCACCACTAGCTCACAAACCTCCTCTTATTACCTCTCAGGTCCCTCCTACCAAATTCAAGATTTAGTGAAAGTCAGCATCCCAAAATCCCAAATCTTTCAAAGTGCAYCTAAACTGCCTGCTGAGAGATGGAAAACAAGGTCCCTGTTCTCCCTACAACCATCAAGAACTCCCTACCCAAACTACAAAGCCGTAATTCCTTTAAATGTAAACTCCCTCCAAATTTCCCATGCCAAGACAATAAATTTGAAGCCCACACAAGCCCAGAAAAAGCTTGGGAGCATTTCTGTGTTAAATTGGCATCAACCTAAGCAGAGCTGCCCCTCTCAAGAATTCCCACTCCTACCTCATTCAAACAGCTCACATGCTATTTTCCTATTTCCATTAATTTGGACACTTGATCAGATCATAATACTCTACAATTTCTTTTAATGACATGAATTAGCAGTGTAAGAAAAAGTGGATGGAGATAGATTAAAAGAGGAGAGAAATRTCTTTTCATTAGCATTCACAAACTCTTTAGTGTTTACACAGCACTTATCAAACTGACCAATTCAGAGATATTGGAATATYAAGATGATTTGGGCAAAGTGATTTTCTCTTGACAGGTAAGAAAACTGCAGCATGACAAACCCAACAAAAACCTGGTCATAAACAGCAGGCATAGAAGTTCCTCTGAGAGCTCTCACTAATGCTATCCAGAACAAACCTATAAATTTCTATAGAAATTTGTTAATTAACTTAATAGCGTGAAATTGAGAATCACAGCATTGCTCAGATGGGAAGGAACCTCAGGATTTTCCTGTTCATGATCACTTATGGCATCAGAATGGACTATTTAAGACTYTATCCAGTCAGGGTACATTTAAGGACAGTCAAGACTTCTGTGAAGGATCCTGCTCTAACTTACAGCTTGCCAGACAACCTTTAAATCATAAAAAAATTAACTGGGAAAACAGACTTACAGGTTTAGAAAGTGTTAGAGGATGAAATTAAAGACTGACCAATGCACTCTGTATGTTTGAAAACAGATGATAAAACAATGACGTGACCATGACGTGGCAGATCCAACCAGAAACTGGGCTTGTGACATCTCTGGATGCTTCCAATAAATATTTCATGAAGGAGAATCAAATAGCCATTGACATTTTAGCTTTGTAAAAATCTGATGGTGTAGGCAAATAGCAGAACAAATCAAAATCAGCCAAGTCCAGGAGRAGAACACTTGTTTCCTCACAGCAGAATGCTAATGTGGAATATTTCACTGTCCTAATTTGCTGTGCCTCTGGGTGAAAGGTACATATTTTGCTACAGAATATTTAGTTCTGAAGAAAACCCCAAAAAGTATGCTAATTACAAAGGGCTAAAACAGAATACATACAACACATGATGTTTCTACATACATAATTGATCCTAAGATAAAATTTTATTAGATAGAAACTGCAAAGGAGTACATTTCACTAGATGCATAAATTAATGGAGAATTGAGAATACACTAGTGAGACCTGAAAGTCTCTTGAACATAAGAGACTAAGACTGCATCAACTAAGGCTCAGATAGGAAATTTTATTTTGAAGAGACTAAACTACTTTGACAACCACAAACACCTCTGTCCTGCCCCCCTGCCTCCCTCAATCCATGACAATCCCTCATATTAAAATATGGTGTTTTATGTCTCAAGAACCCTTTATTACACTAAGTATAACTGATTTTTTCCAGATGAATCCTGACCATTACTTTCTGGCACACAACTCAGTGCTTTCCTCCACCACAAAGCAAGCAGACTTTATGATATCATGTTAGCAGAGAACTGCACATTCCATGCAAGTGAGAAACCCCTCAGCTCCCATACACAATATTAAATTTTGTAATTTATGCCAAGAGATCTTATAACAACATGGAGATTTCTGTTACTGCCAGAACAGGTAATATGTTATATTGTAACATCTGTATTATTGGATGCAGTTGTGCACACAAAAGCTTTGGAGAGACATGAGAAGATAAACAGCTACAAAATTGAACTGAGGATGGCATTTTGGCTCAGAACTCCTGATTGGATAAACACAATTATTTCTATAGGTAYGCTAGATAGCGTTTGCATAGTGAAAGTTGGAAATGCTGAAGAAAAGCTGCAGGGATAGAAAGGCTTTTCTTAAAACATTGTCTTTAAGAAGAGAGCAAAGTCTTGGATGCTGACTGGAGCATCACCACTGTGGACAATAGAAATTAGATAAAACTATTTGCAAAACAATATACCTAATGCTTAAAGAAGCCAGAGAGGTACCTTAAGCTTAGCAGAATGAAAATAACAACTGAAAAACACAAGACACACATTTCCATAGCTGAAATTTCCATACCTAACAGCAGTTTGTCACAGGAAATGCTTGGAGCTTGATGACATATCATCTATAAATCTTGCAATCTGTCCAGCAGAGAACAAGCACTTTTGGCAATGGACCTTTCACTGACACTGTTAATGACAGAATTTGCTTTTGAAAGCAAAATCAKTCATAGGGTATCAGTCTGCTGCATACTAATGTTGAAAATGTTTATTATGGGAYTCAATGGAAATAACAACCAGAACATACGACTTGGTAATTCCACAAAAAGACTAATTTGGACCCTGCTGCAATGCCAAATGAAACTGCTTTTGCATGTAYGCCATTATCTAGTTGGTTTTACTGACTTTAGAATCATTTTCATGAGATTTAATCCTCTACAGTCAYTGGGAAATCAGATTTTTATAGAGACAGAGTGGCAATGATGTCTTCTGACAAATAATAGAAGGAGGTTACAATGATTGGAAGCTCTACCACTACAGTGGTATGTCAGAAACAGTAATTCAAACTAAGGATTGGTTCAAAAACCCCTCTCTGGTTTAAAAAAAAAAAAAGAACAGACAACTAGCAAACAAAGTAGGAGTCCTGAGAAACAAGCAAAAGAACCAATTTACTGAAAAGTTTACTAGCAAATTGCAGTGTTTACTGGTTCCTGTCACTCCATCAGAAAACATGTACAGCAGACAGCAAATAGGTTTTGCTTTCAAAGGAAAAGGTTCTGCTTAAGGGTACAATTTTCAGAGATTTATATAAACCACCTTCAAATTCTGTTTTAAAATTAACCAAGGACTAGACAAAATTACTGCTCAATTGGCAGATTAAAAATTAATATCCGTTTTGCTACTGTGTGCAAGGAATAGCTTTTGGACATTGATTTTAAAAATTATCTTTTCCTTGTATACTCAGATTTTTGATGAAACTTAAAAAACCCATAGATTTTTTTATTTTTCTGGGAGCTCTGTCTCAAGAGAARTTATTTCAGGCATCAGTTCATGCCTCTGTCATGGATTTTTGAACATTGTCACTGAAAAAGTCTGTTTGGAATATATTTCYAACACACACAGAACATTGGGTTTTCTTTCACTGTCAAATCTAGAAACAAATCCACTACTAAAACAAAAGTGTTTATCAAACAGATGCAAAGTGGGAAACTCTTTCTGTTGGCAATAAATACCAGAAAGTAAAAAGGAAAATCCTTCTGACTGGCAAGAACTGGAACAGTAAAGAGCCTAAATTTGGAGATCTTGCAGCAGTGAACCAACWGCTCAAAAACGCTCAAGAAAGCCAAATACTTTCAATTTGAGATGATGGACAGGTATTTTTGACTTTGTTCCTCATGGTTTCATGAGAATGTGGTACACACAGGACTGACTGGTGCTGTGTTATTTGGAAGAATCTCTCAGATCATCCCTGTAAATAATCACATCAGCCAGCAGAAAACAGTTCCTACAGCTCCTTCCTTCCAGTTTTGTCCTTT